CGCATGACTAAACATGCGTCATTGTTTTCAAATACTCCCGGTTTCACAGTCCAAACTACAATGCGAAAACGGAGGTTTCAAATGTATCCACTTTGGAGAGCATTTTCAAAAAGCTTAGCTCGTCTCGGTGTGAACGGAAGGCCTAAATGTAGAGAAAAAGATGCGTTTTCAATAGTGCTGTCAAACGATTAAAATATTTAATCGCGATTAATGTCATAGTTAACTTGCGATTAATCGCACATTTTTATCTATTCTAAATGTCTCTTGATTTATTTTTGTCCCAGTATTTTTTCTCATTTTAATGCTCTTATCAACATGGAAAAGTGGATCGGCTTGCTTTGTGCAAATGTTTTTTTTATTGAAAACAACATTGGCATTTACTGTGTTCAATTTCACACTAACATTCTCACTTGGAGCAAATAATCTCTCACACAATGTAACACTGTCCATCAATAAAAGGGTAAAATAAATACTGACGAGGTCCTGATATTGACGAGGGGGTGGAGGATTCGCATCAGCTGTGTGTGTGTGTGTGTGTGCTTGGCCATCATCAAGTGGTATTTCAGACTGGACGTGCTGCGATGATGATAGCTCAGTTCACAACGACAAAACACACAGATCACTTTGGTCTTGTCAATGGGACCATTTGGCAACTTTTTAAAAGTGAACTTTCAATTCAGAATCTTATTGGCATCCATTTCGGCGCCTCGCGCTCGTCATCCACTCAAAACGTAACGTTAACCAACTATTTGGCCGGCTCGCAGACCCAAACAAGTGTGTGTGGCGTCGTGCCTGTTGTTTTGTTTCCGGTCTAGCTAGATCCGCTTGTGCTTTGGTCGACGAAGCAATAAAACGTCCTCGCACGGCGCAAGCCATTGAAATGAATTGGCAAAAGCATGTGAAAAAAACTACAAAGTTTGCTAGGCCAAAAAGACCGTTAATCTCGCGATAAAAAAAATGTATGCTGTTAAAATGAATTTGCGTTAACGCCGTTAATAACGCGTTTAACTGACAGCCCTAGTTTTCAAACAAAACCGTATTAGACAAGTGTGGACAAGGCCTTAGTGTCTGTGCTGGACAATAACCTTATTCTAGAGCTGCTGTAAAGCCAAAACAATCTCTGTTACTGTAATTTCCTATTATCACTGTGAAGCTGCTTTGAAACGATCTATATTGTTAAAAGCGCTATATGAATGAAGGTGACTTGACTCCGTCTGTGCTGAATGCGATTGCTTTAATATGTGTGTTTGCCCAGGTTAAGAATGGGGAGGGGCTTCCTCAGGGGCCACACCCCCAGCGTGCCGCTCAGCCCGCCTCTAAAGAGCAGGTGGAGGGCGAGAGAGAAGAGGCGGAGTCTAAAGCACTGCAGGCGGTGCAGTGCAGCCTGTTAAAGATCCTCAGTAAAACACTGGCCACGTTACAGCACTTCACACCCGACTGCTGTCAGATATTACTGGACCAGGTACACACACACACATCACTCATTCATAATCATGCAGAAATATTCATTCATATTCATGCATGTATTGTGTGTGTGTGTTTTAGTCTATGGACCTTGCGGAGTACAGGACTCTGTTTGTGTTGAGTTTCACCACTCCTGCGTTTGACTCTGATGTGGCTCCGTCGTTTGGCACTCTGATGGCCACTATTAATGTGGCGCTGAGCATGCTGGGAGAGGTAGTGCTGCACTTTCCCCTTTTCCTCTCTTGTAGATCGTCATGTTATTTAATGTGGTGATTTTGATTGTTTTCTGTTTAGATTGAGAAGAAGAAAGAGCCGGTGGTCTCCTCTGAGGACACACAAGCACTAAAGTGAGCAGGAAACGCCTGTGATGCGGTCTGTGTGCTGTTGGTTCTTCAGTTGGACTGTATCTCATCATCTCTCGGTCTCTGGTTCCAGGTCTTTGCTGATGTTCTCCATGGAGAACTGCTTCTACGTGTTGATCTCTCAGGCTGTCCGTTGTCTGAAGGATCCTTCAGTTTTGCCCAGAGACAAACAGAGACTCAAACAGGAGCTCAGCTCAGAGCTGGTGAGTTACTCGCCACAATCACTTCATTTAAATGACTTAGTAATAAAAAATATTACATTTTGTTTTGTGACATTTTCAATTAATTATATTTTTTACCTACAAATACTCTATTTATTTGTTATGCTTATTTATTATTTAAATAAATAAAAGGAAAATTAGTTTGACATCAAAATCAAAATTTTCTGACAATTAAGATTTTGTTTTGTGACATTTTCAATGAATCAATACAAAAAAATAAGCATTTTTTTGCTTAATTATGTATTTAAATTTGTGGGTTATTCTTATTACTGAAAAACCATAATTATCCTGTTTGGACTGTTTTTCCCTTATTTTCTTTCAAGTTATGATCAGCATTAATTAAAGGCCAATACATTTTCACTAAATTGTCACAGTGCAAAATAGTCCTCAAATACAGTAGTCTACAGTCTTTCCTAAAAAAATAATAATAATCACCCCAAAATCAAAAGATTTTTTTCTTTCTTTTTTTTCAACAACCTACTAATTTGCTCTGAAAAAGAATCTTAAATTAACAGTATTTTCCAATAAATATATATATATATTTGAATTTTTATATATATATGCGCACACTCAAAGCCAGTCATATTTAGTAGCCTATTAAAAACTATTTCTTTCTCGGACAGTTCTTAGAATAAATGAATCCTGGCTGTTTTTGACCTATTTGCTTAAGATATTTTACCAGTCCGTTCAGTCCAGTCCGTCTGGTCTCTTCTGTTCTCTTTCAGAGTACACTATTGTCCACATTATTCCGTTTTTTCCGCCGAGGTTCCCCTTCCTCCCCAGCGAGCGGGCTGCTTTCCTCACCACAAACCAAACCCCCCGCACCGGGATCCAAGGGCACGCCGGAGGGCCAGGAGCCCTTCATCCAGCTGGTCCAAGCCTTCGTCCGGCACGTCCAGCGCTGATGCGCTTGGTGCCGCAAACCTTCTGCTCTGAGAAGAGCGCAGTACTTGAAAAAGCTGATTCAGAGATCTGAATCACAGAGTAAGGGAAACTTGACAACAATGAATCAGTTTCAGTGATTCTGGCTTCAGCGTCCTTCTGGTGCCAAAGTTCATTGCGTGACCTGGACTGCACACACAGGGCCTTTTCTATTTAAAACCGTTACCGTTTCTTTCCTCATCAAAATACACATGGGCCTGACTGCAGCTTTGAAAACTGTCAAAATACATTTAAATGTTTTTGGTAGTTACATGTACAGTATATAATTTTGTCATAGCCGTTTGTATTAAAGCTTTTTATTTCCCAGCTGCCATATATTTGTCTTATAACCATAATAAACTGTAATAGAGTAAAGATGAATATGGTCTGACTTTTTGCATGGACACTAAACTCTTGTGCTGGAAAATAAAGGAATATTGGAATATATAGAAATGTTATCATCTATCTATAAATTACAGGAACGTCTGTCTGTCTGTTAATCGAATATCTCTCGTAGCGTTAGTCTGATGGATTTCAAAGTTGACAGGTGATTTGCTACGGCACGAGTAAGTGCAGTGCTGAGTTTGACATTGTTTGGATTAGAAATGCAGAAGATATCGTTAAATATATCTGTAAAAGAAGCACACACTGAAGTTGTGGTTCAGAAATAAACATTCTGATATTAGAGAGGGGTGTGGTTTAAAAATAAACATTCGGTCAGCTACGCTGTTTACTTCTGAAGTAAAAAAGTAGCGATTCTATTTGTAAAAGTAGTGTAAAAAACATTAATTATACATTTGTTATAGTCTTATACATTTATTACAATGTAATTATACGTTTGTTACAATGTAATTATATATTTATTACAATGTAATTATTATATATTTATTATAGTGCTATAATACATTACAATGTAATTGTAAGTTAATTACAATGTAATTATAAAATTTAATTTTACATTTGTTAGTCTTATACATTTATTACAATGTAATTATACGTTCATTACAATGTAATTATACGTTTGTTACATTATTATTTTGTAACATTATTCTTTTTGAAAAAGTAGCAATTTGTGAAAAAGTAGCGATTTTTGAAAAAATAATAATTTTTGAAAAAAGTAGTGTAAAAATGTAATTGTACATTTATTACAATGTAATTATACATTTATTACAGTGTTATTATACATTTGTTACAATATTATTATTTTTACATTATTCTTTTTGAAAAAAGTAGCCATTCACTACTTTTGAAAAAAGTATTAATTCGGAATATATTTTATTCTGGTGCGCTTAACGTTATCGTTTTCTCAGAGTTTAGGTTCCTGTGTAACAGTAGCCTAGGCTATTCAGCAACTCAAACATACCAAACCAACAATTACTAAAAACACAAAAACTGATTTTGCACTAGTAGCCTAGTAATATGTAGTAAGGTTTTATGCATTAAAAAAAAATGCATGGGTATATTATAGATTATAACTTCACACACTTTTGTGACATGTAATGTATACATATACTACATTAGTTCAAGATTAATAAATTAACATCAATGTTCAACAAACATGGATTAATAATAAACAGTGTATTTGTAAATAAATATAAACCTAATTAATAAATGCGGTAAAACTTCTGTTCAAGATTTCTAGCATGATGTTACAATGAGGCTCATTATTACGGTCTTTTATATTCATGTTTGACAACTGAAATCTAATAGTGTGGGTTGATTTTCAAATCAAATAATTTTCTTCAAATCATTACATTTTTGTAATGTATATTATTTAGTATAATCCTGAGTGTCACTTTAAGGTTCTTTTCACAGCAAATATGCAGGTTTTTTTGAATGAGGAAAATGTTATAAAATATGCTTTTTATAGTTTTGCCAGTGTGAATATGTAGCAAATGAAAAATGAAATCTAACTAAAAGTCTTTTAACAGGTTCGTATTTAAATGAAAACACTGTTACAATATGAAAAGACTAGATTAAAAGCAAATTCTCCCATTAAAATCAAACTAGTTTACCATAAAAGCACAGCGTCTTCTGAGGGTTTTATACATTTACTTGTATCACAGTCTGCTACATTAATGTACATGTACCACTCATTTACATCACAAGATTACATCTTCACTAGAGTGAAGCAGGATGATACAGCATCACAGGATAGAGGCAGTGAACATGAGACTGCTTAACCATTCAAGGGAAACAGTATAAAACTAAAGTTCAAAATATTTACAGGAGAAAATCTCTTCCAATATTAAAAAAACATTCCCTTTACACGAGTTAAATGCTTACTGTATATGTGCAAATACTTCCCCAAACGTCATCAGCGTACCTCAAAGAGAAAAATAAATTAAAAAGGCAAATGAAGAGCGTGAGGACATCGCTGTAATGACATCAGTTGTGGGCGTGTCTAACAGCTGCAGTGGGAGGAGTTTTCACTGCATGCTGAGCCTCTGCCTGAACGCTGCGGTGGACTGGACACACCCCTCGATTGCTGATTGGTCACTGGCCATTCAATGGGACGTCCTGCAGAAACACAAAGGTCAAAAGACTCAAGAGACGTGTTGAGATGCCAAACAATCAATAAAGTCCATGCAGAGCATCACATGCCTGAAATAAAACAAAATCTCCCCAGCAGCATATGAAGGTCAGAACAGCAAAGCATGGCATCAAAACCTTTTCATATGGGCTTTTGGGATTTTAAACAACCGCAAGCTGCCACAAAACCCGGAAAAGGAATCAGAAAGAGCAGTGAGCATGCAGAGATCATCATGCAAAGAAACAAACGCACAACCCTTCATTAAACTGACCTTCCACCTGCAGACCCTTCAGCCCAAAAACATTCAGATAGTTGGACTGAAATACAGGTGAAATAAAGCACAGCAGACAGAGCATTAATATCAGGAAGAAAGGAGAGGGAAGAGGAAAAAAAACATATATATATAAATCCAGGCAAATGTTCTTTACAAAGAGACATTTAAAGCAACGGAACAAATCAATTTGATTTTAGTGGTTCGTTTTATGGGAAAGTAAAAATGGTAAAAAAGGAAAAAAAAAGAGCAGCAAATTGCTAATAATTACTTATGTCATAATAAGTCCAAAATATTCTCTCTCTTTTTTTTTTTTGGAAAAGTCTTTTTTGGAGGCTAGTTTCTTTTAATTGTTTACTGTATATGCTAATAAATTAATTCTGGCATTCAAAAACGAAATCAACGAAATCATTTTATTCTTTAATGTCACTCACACATCACTTTAATGGGGATGCATTATGCACATTTGGTTTCGGGTCAGGAAGATTTTTAAATGTTTTTGAAAGAAGTCTCTTCTGCTCACCAAGGCTGCATTTATTTGATCAAAAATACAGAAAAAAATTGAAATATTTCCATTTAAAATAAGTGTTTCCTATGTGAATATATTTTAGAATGTAATTTATTCCTGTGATCAAAGCTGTATTTTCAGCATCATTACTCCAGTCTTCAGTGTCACATGATCCTTCAGAAATCACTCTAATATGATGATTTGCTGCTCAAGAAACATTTCTGATTATCAATGATGAAAACAGTTGTGATGCTTAATTTTTGTAAAAACCCTGATTAATATTTTTTCAGGATTCTTTGATGAATAGAAAGTTTGGTTTGGGTCTTGGAAACACAAACGCACCTCCAGGTTTCCTCTGGCTCTCTTCAGCACGCCGTGAGTCAGAGACACTGCAGGAAACACAGGACACAAACATCAGCATGTTATCCCTCTAGATGAGCGAGTGTGTGTGTGTGTGTGTGTGTGTGTCTTACGCTGGTCGATGACGATGCGCTCCATGCCCTCTTTGAGCTGGTTGGTGGATCTCAGGCGTCTCACGGCTCCGGTCAGCATCCGCTCCTGCTGGGACAGGCGACTCTTCAGACGACTGATCTCACTCTTCAATAGATCGTCCTGATGGACACACACACACATACATTTTAATTAATAAAATTTTAACTAATAGACTGCATTTATGAAAAAAGAAGAACGGATATCCACAGTGAACTATAAAAAAAAATATACATTATTTAATAAATAATAATGAATACACTTCCCAATGAATTTGATTATTTAATATTTAAACATGTCTATTGTATTTTATTACAAGCTGTATTTTATTTCAAATAAAAATATGAATGATTGAATAAATAAATAGTAAATTTAAATAAAAAAAAAGTCCCCTATAAACAAGGTGTGAAATTAAATATAATGAATACTGAATACACTTCATAACGTATTTCATTTATTTAATATATATAAATGGGCTTACTAATTTACATGACAATGTGCATTATATTTCACATAAATAGATAAATATAATTAAAATGGAATTCAAATTACTTTTACTTATTTATTTATTTATTTATTTATTTAATTTCACACCATATTTGTGGTCACATTTTATTTTATTTTGGGATAGTCACACTTCACAAGGGATTTAATTATTTTATCCAAATAAATAAATAAAATAAACTTGTTTATACAAAGTTAACAAAATTTTGTGATTTGTTTCCCCCAATATTTGGTGGACAGGTTGATTTTTTATTTCATTAATTCTTTTGTTAAGTCACTTATTAACTTTTTAATAGTAGAGAATAGTATTTTATTACAATACATACATAATTCAATTTTTATTTGATGATTTATTTAATGGTTGGATTTCATGATATATTTAATTTAGTCAGTTATCTTCCTTCATTACTCTGTAGTCATTATATTTAAGCTTCATATGAAAACAACAGGCATCATCAGACGACTGTGTGTGTGTGTGTGTTACCTGTTGAGTGTGTGTGCCGTCTCCTGAGGGCAGTGAGACTCTCCAGAGCAGTTTGAGAAGCCGGGCGGCCTCCTCCAGAACCTGCTGCATGGTGTTGACACCGCCAGAGAAGCTCTTCAGCTGATCCACAGCCTGACACACACAGCAGAAAACACATTCAGTGCTGAAACATGAGCCTAACACACGAGACTGAGAGAGTGTGTGTGTGTGTGTGTGTTCTCACCCTGCCGCAGTCATGTATCTGTGTGTCCAGATCTGCAGTGAGTCTCTTGGCTTCACTGATCTGTTTGCGCAGGGCATTATAGTCCTCTATCAGACCCAGAACGTGACGGCCTCGTCTGTCCGCCCACAGCCGGTGTCCCGGTACCAGCCGGGACGGAGCATGGGAACCAGAGTCCGCTGAACTACCGCTGTCTAAACACAAAGACAACTTTATGACCAACATGTGAAAATAAACATTCTATTTTCAGGGTTTATGAGCAAATTTCACAAAAAAATATCTTGCGGTCACATAAAAAAAAAATCCTAATGAAGAAGAAAATAAAGTTTATTTCTAAGACCATAAACAATTTTTTTGCATTTTGTTACATTATTTTTATAACATTTAAGCATTCTGAATGTTTTGATGATTTAATTAGATTCTCTTTACTGTAATACAGTATATTTACTTAATTGTTACATTATTTTTATAACATTTAAGCATTCTGAATGTTTTGATGATTTAATTAGATTCTCTTTACTGTAATACAGTATATTTACTTAAATCTCTCTCTCTCTCTCTCTCTCTCTCTCTCTCTCTCTCTCTCTCTCTCTCTCTCTCTCTCTCTCTCTCCTCTCTCTCTCTCTCTCTCTCTCTCTCTCTCTCTCTCTCTCTCTCTCTCTCTCTCTCTCTGTGTTGTTTTCACACACTCTCTCTCATATACTGTAGTTCATTAGTCTAAAGTGAGAGTGGTGTGTTATATTAGCTTGGTGGGAAGCAGAACAGGTTGTCATCTTCCAAGCATCTGTTTGTTTTGAGACCACACTGAGGTTTGTAATTACGACGCATATATAACCTAATCAGCTTAATTTGCAATTATAAACCTCCAGCACAACTTTAGGGTTGCTTAAATTTATAACATTTAAGCATTCTGAATGTTTTGATGATTTAATTAGATTCTCTTTACTGTAATACAGTATATTTACTTAATTGTTACATTATTTTTATAACATTTAAGCATTCTGAATGTTTTGATGATTTAATTAGATTCTCTTTACTGTAATACAGTATATTTACTTAATTGTTACATTATTTTTATAACATTTAAGCATTCTGAATGTTTTGATGATTTAATTAGATTCTCTTTACTGTAATACAGTATATTTACTTAATTGTTACATTATTTTTATAACATTTAAGCATTCTGAATGTTTTGATGATTTAATTAGATTCTCTTTACTGTAATACAGTATATTTACTTA